CTTCAGGTCATACCCGAGTTTCTTCTCCCGAATCGTCAATTGATCTCTGATTGACTTGAACTTTGCGCCTATGCTTCACTTTATGTGCTAGGACCTGAAATATGACAAAGGAACACAACCTAGCGTAAAATAGGCCAAAGATGTGATAATTAAAGCTCAAACGATCAAGAAACACAGGGGAAAACATGTGCAAATATCGAGTCATCATGTTTGCCTGAGAAGTGGACTCCAAAAGTAACAGCTATAGAAGAAGCAAAGAATCTTGAGACATTAGCCATAGATGAATTGATTGGATCACTGGCTACACACGAAGAGAAATTAGTTAAGACAGGACATGAGAAGGAAATCAGCGAGAAGGGAAAAAGAGGAGTGGCATTCAAAGCCACTGGCCATGTTGATGAACCTGAAGAACTTGATGAAATGGAAGATGAAGAGCTTGCACTGCTAAGCAAGCAGATAAGCAGACTAATTAGAATCAGAAGAGAAAGAAACAAGGTGGTTATGGAAATAAGCCAAAGGAATTCGAAAAGAATGATGGTGTGGGAAGAGGAGCACAAGGGAAAAATTTCACAAGAAATCAAAGTGAGTCGAGTTCAGCTTCAAAGGGGGTAAGCTCTACAGGATGTTTTAAGTGCGGCAGAATGGGGCACATTAAAGCTGAGTGCCCTCAGTTGAAGAAGGAGAGAGCTTTAGCAGCAACTTGGAGTTGTAGTGAGGATGAAGACGAAGATGATGATGAGGTAACCATTCACAGGTCATACATGACAGTTGCTCAAATGGAGGAAGAAGATGAAGATCCTGCATCACCAGTATCCTTGTCCCAGGTAAAACCAACTAAACTAAAACAATTATGCAATCCTGAAGATGATATACTGGTCGAAATCATTAATGACATTCAGATAGAATTCGAAAATGTTAAAAACAAATACAGTAAATTAAAGAAATAAAATGAGGTTAATCTCAAAAGATTAACAGAATTAGAGAAGGAATTAGAATTTAGTAAACTTAGAGAGAATTCACTCAATAATAGTTTACTGCAAATGAAGGAAGAAAAGGAAGAGTTTCAACATGAATGTGGAAATCTTAAAAGAAAATTAGAAGAAAGCAGAAATCATCATGAAAAGAGAATTAATAGTAATCGAAAAATGGTAGAATGCTACTATTGTCACTCATATGGCCACAGAATCAAGGATTGCAGAAAAAGACTTAGGTCAGAAACTATAAAGAACACGAATGCATCTTGGTCTCATTATCCAACTAAACAAGTTTGGGTAGTCAAATCCAAAAATGAAAGGAAGAATAATGTTGCACCTGAATATAGTCATTATTCCGAAATCACAAATGCACCCAAGAAGATCTGGGTTTGCAAAACAAAATGAATGTTGTGTTTGCAGAGTTGCCTTCAAGTGAGCACGGAGGTGACAAAATGGATCATGGACAGCGGGTGCTCACACCATATGACAGGTAATAAACATCTCTTCTCAACTCTTAAGCTAGGAAATTTTGGTAACGTCTACTTTGGTGATAACAACTCGGCTGAAATTGTTGGTAAAGGTCAAGTGGGAATTAGTCCCTGTATAAGAAATGTAATGCTAGTGGAAGGGTTAAAACATAATTTAATTTTCATAAGCCAGATGTGTGGAAAGGATAATCGTGTAATTTTTGAGTCAACATGTTGCTATGTGGAAAATGTTAAAAGCAAACAAATCTTATTCACAGGTAAGAGGAGTGGAAAAATTTATACCATTGATCTAAATGACAAGAGCATCTTTAATGAATTTTGCTTAGTTAGCATGGAATCTAATGAACAGCAAGATTGACATAGAAGGCTTGGCCATGTCAATGTTGCAGTCCTATCCAAACTGGCCAGGATGAATCTAGTTAAGGGTTTGCCAAGAATCAACGAGAAGAAGGACTTCTTTTGTGATGCATGCTAAAGGAAAACAAACCAAGTCAAGCTTTAAAAGTAAACCAGTCATGTCCACATCTAGAATTTTAGAGCTACTGCATCTTGATTTATTTGGTCCTGCAAATGTGGTCAGTTATGGTGGGAAATCCTATGCATTTGTTATTGTGGATGATTACTCGAGATTTACATGGGTGCTATTCTTGGCTAAGAAAGATGAAGCATTGGAAAACTTCAAAACTTTTGTTAAAAAGGTTGAAAATGAGAAGCTAAGTAAAATTGCCAGTATCAGAAGTGATCATGGAGGGGAATTCTGTTCTGATATGTTTGAACAACTTTGTAATGAATCAGGAATCTCACATAACTTCTCTGCTCCTAGGACTCCACAACAAAATGGAGTAGTGGAACGAAAGAATATAACCTTAATTAACATTGCACGTACAATGCTTCATGACTACAACCTGCCTAAATATTTTTGGGTAGAGGCAGTTAATACAGCATGTTATATAACTAATCGAGCACTTATCAGATCAACCTTAAATAAAACTCCCTATGAAATATGGAGAGGAAGGAAGCCTAACTTAGGATACTTTCACCCATTTGGGTGTAAGTGTTATGCCTTGAATACCAAGGACAATCTAGGGAAGTTCGATGCAAGGTGTGATGAGTCGGTATTCTTGGGATACTCGATTCAAGTAAGGCATACATGATTTTTAACAAGCGGACCCTCAAGGTTGAGGAGTCCGCCAACGTGATATTTGATGAGGGTATTGTTGAGTGTACAGATATACTCGACGATGATGATTTTGGGCTTGGAACAAGTATCACGCAGAATAAACCAGGATCAACATAAGCACCTCAAGTCAAGAACTCAGAGGAGCCTTTTTCAAACGAGAAAGAAGTATCAGTCTCAGACAAGTCAAAGGAAACAGAGACTGACATGGAAGATGGATCAGAAAGAAACTCGGTACAACCCCCTCCACACATAGTCAAGCGACATCCTCCCAGCCAGATTATTGGAGGACTGGACCAAGGTATGACAACTCGCTCCAGAATTTTACCATCCTTAGCAGCTTTTGTGTCTTTAGTCGAACCTAAGAATGTAGAAGAAGCTCTTCATGATGAATTCTGGACAGCTTCTATGTTTGAAGAGATGAACCAGTTTGAACGTGCAAATGTGTGGGAATTGGTACCTAAACCTGAAAATCGAGCAATAATTGGAACTAAATGGATTTATAAAAACAAGTCAGACGAGATAGGAACTATAATTAGGAACAAATCTCGATTGGTGGCACAAGGATATTGTCAGGAAGAGGGAATAGACTTTGAGGAAACCTTTGCCCCTGTTGCAAGGTTAGAAGCAATTCGTATGCTATGTGCTTTTGCCAGTTCTAAAGGATTTAAACTGTTCCAAATGGATGTAAAAAGCGCCTTTTTAAATGGAGATTTAAAAGAAGAAGTATATGTGTCTCAACCTCCAGGTTTTGAAAACCATAATTATCCCAATCATGTATATAAGCTTAAGAAAGCACTATATGGGTTAAAGCAAGCTCCCAGAGCTTGGTATGACAAACTCAGCTCATTTCTGATAGAAAATAGGTTTAGAAGAGGCAAGGTAGACAAGACCTTATTCATTAAACAAGAAAAAGAACATATTTTGTTAGTGCAAGTGTATGTGGATGACATCATTTTTGGGTCTACAAGTGAAAAGCTTTGCAAAGATTTTGAAATAAAAATGAAAAGTGCATTTGAGATGAGTCTAATGAGAGAATTAAACTTCTTTCTAGGGCTTCAGATCAAACAAACACGTGCTAGAACTTTTATTTGTCAAACCAAATATCTTCAGAACATGTTAAAACGGTTTGACTTTGGAAACTTAAAGACAGTTATAACCCCCATGGCAGCAAATACTAAACTAGATAGGGATGACTCAGGAACGGCAGTAAATGAAAAAATGTTCAGGGGGATGATAGGGTCACTGTTATACCTGACTGCTAGTCGTCCAGATATCATGTATAGTGTCTGTGTGTGTGCTCGATTCCAGAGTTCCCCTAAACAGAGTCATTTAAGTGCTGTCAAAAGAATTTTTAGATATCTGAGTGGGTGTCCTGATCTTGGTCTGTGGTATTCTCATGACTCTAGCCTAGAACTATTAGGGTATTCGGATGCTGATTATGCAGGATGTGTCTTAGATCGAAAAAGTACTTCAGGAACATGTCAGTTTCTGGGCACTTCTTTGATATCCTGGTTCAGTAAGAAACAAAACTCAATCGCTTTGTCAACAGCTGAAGCTGAGTACATTGCAGCAAAATGCTGTTGTACTCAGATTCTCTGGATGAAGCATCAACTTCAAGATTATGGTTTGTGTCCTAGCTCAGTCCATGTGCTGTGTGACAACACAAGCTCAATAAATATGACAAAAAATCCAGTCCAACATTCACGAACTAAACACATTGACATTCGTTATCACTTTATCCGTGAATTGGTAGAGGAAGGTCAAATAGGATTAGAATTTGTTCCAACCTCATGTCAGTGGGCTGATATCTTCACAAAGCCCTTGGGCTCGGAATCATTCATTCGTATACGTCGAGAGCTAGGGTTATTCACCCTCAATGACATAGTTAATCTGTCAACTATGTCTCAGGAATCTTCTAATTGATCTGAGTTACCTATTCTACTTAGATTTCCAAAAGTCCGCTCAATCTCAAGATTCTTCTTAATTATGAGTTGAGCTACCCTTCCTAATCTTAATTCCCATAATTCTTGGAACCTCTTTTCTTCCGGAGCAAGCTTTAATACATTCCTTATTCATATATCACATTCCCTCAATAAACTCTCTTCTCTACTTTAAAAAGGGGTCAAGGTCGAGACCCTCATCTCACACAAAGTAAAATTTCACTCTCTCAACTACCAAAAAATTCTCATGGCTGCTTCCAACAATCACGTAGCATCCCTGCGTCTGGCTCAAGCTGCCATTTTCAATGGCAAAGGGTTTGAGGATGCAGCGGGGTATGCTCGCTATCTACAACAGTTCCAGGATCGTTCTCTGCATCCTTCCATCACTCTTGACCCTTCTCGGTTCAACAGATATGGAATGGATATTCCTCGCTTGATCAACTCTATCGGATGGGGTGATATCCTTCCAAATCGAAACTTTGGGTTTCGTCCTGAGGCAGTACGAATGTTCTACTCAAACATGAAGCCTTGTCTTCATATCTCTCCTCCATGCTTCACAACGATAGTGTACAATTATTTGATCACCATCAATGTGGAATTGTTGTCACTGTTGCTTGGCATACCCATCACTGGAGCAGAAGTCATGAATGAGTTGGACTTTCACTCTGTTGAATTCAATGAGGGAGATGCTCTGCGGTTGTATACCCGTGACACAGGTCGTTACTATCCCTCGGAATTCCACTCTGGTAGACTTCCTGATGATCTCAAGGTTTTGCATTTTTACATCACCAGATGCTTTCTGCCTAGATCCTTTGGGCTTGATACTATCTATCCATCCGACCTATGGATTCTTGCCAGTGCCAAGGAGAATCGGGTCATCAGTTACCCACATCTAATGTTTGACCACATGCTAAACTATCATGCTAACAACTATAATGCCGAGCTTCCCTTTGCCCCACAAATCACTCAGATTCTGCTGGCCTTAGGATTAGATCTCCGTTTTAAGGTGGCTCGTGTAGATATGTTCGGCTCTCTTCGTGCTCAATTCGTCCTGTGAAAGGTGGATGCATCGGTGGGCCGTCGTCGTCCGCTGGTCAATGCTCCAGGGGGAGAAGCAGCTGCTGGAGTTCCCTCTGATCAGGATGGACTTCATCTGTCTGAGTTGGGTAGGGATGAAGCTGAGGAAGAACCAGATATGGCAGATCTGGTTAGCATAGTCAGAGATAATGGAAAGCGACCCATGGTAGTTCCCTTGGAAGCGGTTCAAGCCATGTTCAGGCAGGAGGAAGCAAGCAGCAGCAATAGAAATCTGATGATGGAGGATGAAGAAGAGGCTATATCAGATTATGTGCCTTCACCTAGGTTTTCTTTTTAAAGGGAACATCAATCTTAGGGGGAGTCGAGGTTTAGCTTAGGGGGAGTCAAGAAACTGATCCTTGTGAGGATCAAGTTGGTCGGATTAAGTGTCTTAGGGGTTGCAGTACTAATCTTGAATAATGCTCTGTCTGAGCTCGTGTCATTTTATTTTTAATATGTGTCTGGATGTTCTTGAGTTTCGACGTCAAATAGTTTAATAAAATGGTGTGTGTTTTGAGTTCTTATCTGGTTAGAACAACTTAAGCAGACTTTTTTAGAATTTTTAGAACAGTCTGCACGCAATAGTTTGTTAAGGTGTGTGCAGGAACTCCACATGCAGCTGAAGAGGATCATTGACTGGCTTAGGGGGAGATTGTTGACAAGTAAGCCAGTCATTTACCTCAAAAATCAAGAAAAAGATATCGTGGTTTTGGAGAAGCTGCATTTGGAAAGAATCACCTATGCAAGGAAAGCAGATTTGAGTGAATCGCAAGGCTTGATTAGACAAGGCATTTCAGGAAGGAATTCAAAGGAGAAGACCTACCTTCTTGAAGCACAACGGCTAGCTGTATGAAGTACAAATAGCTCGATCAAGGATCAATACATGGCACTTTTCGAGAGATCAAGATACACGGGTGAGGCTAAGGAAATAGCAAGTGTAATTGATAGCGAAAAGACAGCTTTGACATTGATTCTGGAGTGAAACAGTGTTAGAGAGGAAGAGTGTTGGAAAACACAGAAGATGGATAGCTTGGGTATTGGGAGTTAGTTGTTATAAGGTAGAATAACCATCCTGGATTGGACTGGTTAAGCTAGTGAGTGTAGAGTCATCATCGAACCAAAAGCATCATTCCTAGTGAATCGTTGGAAATCACCAATCGTGATCTTCCAACCGTGGAATAGTCAGTATTGGGATTCTCTTTCTCCCAATACTGGAAACCACGTAAAAATCTGAGCGTGTGTTCTTAAATTCTGCATTTTAATTTCTGCTCTTGTGGGTATACTCTGTTTTTTGCTCGGGTCAAACTCTGTTTTGCAGTATTCGTTTAAAACTTGCACAGGGAATCAGCTAGTAGCAAAGGAAGAAGAAGTTGTTGAAGAAGTTAAGTCGAAGCGCAGCGTTTTAGAGTAATTAGCTGTGCACGGGCCCGGTAATGAGAGTGGGCCTGGCAAACTGAGCCCGATGCAAAGAGCAGTGCCTCCAGATAACAACAAACATTCATTCTGTTTACCGAATTAGTTTCGATCAAAATCATTTCTTCTCAATCTCACTTGATCTTCCCAAAAGGCTGCCTAGGGTTTTTTCAGGAGCCAGTTTCAGCATAAGAGGTAGACAGGCTTCTCGCGCTCGAAGCCAACAACAATAACTTTGTGCTCCGTAATCCGAACGTCGCAAAGTTTTTTTTTCTTTTGCATAACTTTTTGAGTACTACAACATTTACTCGGAATATATTTTCAAAATAATTTTTTTTAATATAAGGGGTTTTCGGAATAACTTGAGCTTTAATTTTCACATTTTCACATCTATTCTGAAAATATTTCTTTGGTAAAAGTTGTAGTCCTTGAAAAGTTATGCGAAATGAAAAAAATTTGCTACGATCGGATAACCGAGCACAAAATTAAGGTTGTTGGAAATTTCAAAATAGTAGTTTGTTCGAGTTCACCAAACTCTTTGTACTTCAGCCCCACATGGTTCGAGACTTACATCATCGATCTACGCCTAGATAGAGTCTCTTACACTCGAACCAGTTAGTAGTTTGAGTTCTTCAAACTCAAACCACTACAAACTTAGGTATTTTGAGAATTTTTTTTATAAGTATGATAATTTAGAAATCTTTTTTTAATTTTATGTGTATTTAAGGAATTTTCCGTAGATTTGTGTTTTGTTTTAAATGGAAAATAGTAGTCAACCGGTCACGCTAGAAAAGTCGCCAGAAGACCGTGGTGAGCAAAACGGATGACGACCACATATGACGTTTTACCACTCCCACTCCCACTCTCTAGTCAACTCTAGTCTGGTCTCCAAACAACGGCATATGTCCTCTTTTTTTATATCGAGACATGTGACCAAATTATGCCACTATAATATTCACTCTTCCATTTTCCTTTTTTATTTTAGTATTTGAAATTGAACTCTCAGTCTCTCACCTTTATGATTCTGCGCCGGTCCGGTCCTTCCACCAAGCTTCGCGTCGTGATAAACGAGTTGATAGCTCGATTTCTTTCTGTATGTAGATCTGAACCTTCCCCACTCTCCCCTTTCCCCCTTCCTATATATACCCACACGCTTCCTTATTCGCATTTGCTTCATCTCCAACAAGAAGAGAAACAAACTACGCAAAGACACACAAGCGGAAGAAGAGTTCATCATCCACTTCCCATCCGGTCAACTTCTAGCCAGTTCCTGCAACGAAGAAAATTTCAACCAAGCTTCTCTCGCCCATGGACTACTCTTCATCGCTGGTCGATGTATCTCTAGATCTCAATCTCAACCCTCTCCGGCGCAACGACGACCGACCCGCCTCCGCCCTTTCAGTTAAAAAGGAGTGGAGCTTCGGCGTACCTTCAGCTCCGGCTAATTTCATGGGACTAGGAATCAGCGTTTCTTCCGTCAAAGAAGAAGAGGTGGGTTCTTTTCCTTCCTTCCAAAAACTTCAATTTCGTTCTTAGAAAAAAAAAATCTAATTTGAAATTTTTTTCCCCAAAAAATTACAGTCGACGGCGGGGGCTCTGGTGGAGGAACTGAACAGGGTGAGCGCGGAGAACAAGAAATTGACGGAAATGTTGACGGTGATGTGCGAGAACTACACCGCTTTGAGGAACCAATTGATGGATCACATGGCCAGAAACTCTCATCCCGCCGACGAGGCGGCGGCGGTGGAGGAAGAGGTCGAGAAGGAACATAGCCCTTCTTCCCTTTCCCCTGCTTCCTCCAGAAAAAGGAAATCCGATAGCACCACCACCAACAACAACGACAATTACAACCTTCCCTTAGCTACCAACAACAACAATGGCGCCTCGGAGAGCAGCTCCACCGACGAGGAATCCTTCAAGCGGCCTCGTGAGGAAGTCATCAAGGCCAAGATTTCTAGGGTTTATGTCCGAACTGAACCATCGGATACCGGCCTGGTAAGTTCATCACGTTACTAGCCCAAACCCTAATTCCTCCTGGCTGTAGTAAGTTGTGTGGATTGCTGAAAGGTGTTTTCTATTATCAAAATTGCAGATTGTCAAGGATGGTTATCAATGGAGGAAATACGGCCAAAAGGTCACAAGGGATAATCCTTGCCCACGAGCTTACTTCAAATGCTCTTTCGCTCCCAGCTGCCCCGTTAAGAAGAAGGTAAGAGCTTTAGTACTTCGCTACCTGATTCCTCATTCCAATTTGTATCTAATATTCAGTTCTCGCAGTTAATTGGACACCCTTGTTGATTAGTGTTTGGGATATATATTTTGACTGGTTTTCAGGTTCAAAGGAGTGTTGAGGATCAATCAGTAGTCGTCGCGACTTATGAAGGAGAGCACAACCATCCACACCCTTCAACACCCGAGGCAGCAGCAGCAGCAGCAACAGCAAGCTCCAGTGGCCGCGGCCTGGCCATTGCAGGCTCGCCCTCGCTTGCTGCTGGACCAGCCACCATGACTCTGGACTTGACTAAATCGAAGCCCAGTGTGGCCAGTACTAGTGCAAGGAACGTTGTTGCTCCTTCTCCTAAACCACTAGCAGGAGGGATTGATGGTCCGGAGATTCAACAATTGTTGGTTGAACAGATGGCTACTTCACTTACCAAAGACCCAAACTTTACAGCAGCTCTTGCTGCAGCCATCTCTGGAAGAATGCTTCAGCGGAACCGTAGTGAAAGGTGGTAGATAGATGGTGGAAGTTTTGGAAAGAGTATTAGTTATATTGTGTTTTAGGCTCTTTCTTCTTGCAACTCCATGGTAAGCAATGTGTAGATAAGATGATACTAAGTAGTTTTACAGCACAGAAACAGAGTGATAAAGAAATGGACAAATGAGTATGTTAGATTCTATAGTACTTAGGTTTGTAAAGTGTTTTCAATTGCAGCATTTGGGGCATTTTGCTCTGTAGCTTCGTTGCTTTCTCCATTACACAGTTTTGAACCGTATCAAAATCCAGTTCCCAAGTTCGGATGACAGCCTAGTTCATGTTGAAGTTTCAATTTGGTCCCCTGAAGAAATATGCCACTTGCTTGATGAAGTGTTTGGATTGAGCTTAACAGAAGCGTGTGGCTACTAGAGAATGTGGAAATGAACGTAGACGTAGCAAGTTGGGAAGAGAAGCATAAGAGTCTTCTTCTTCGTCTCTTCTTTCTACTATTTTGGTTCACCTAAAACTAGCTGTCCAAAATTGACTGCCAGCTACTGCGAAGTCTGTATCAGTTTTGACTATTAAGTTGGGCTGCTGCTCCTTGTCTTAAAAGTTAAAACCATGGTCCATGAGACCGTACCGGAAAAGTCAGCGGTACGGTATTTTATGGCAAAATCGTGGTTTAACCGCAGCTAAGAGGCGCCGCTTGATCGTATCTACAGAGTCACCCCCTATTATTTCATTCCATTGATATGGATAGGAGTTCACCGGTAGGGTCCGATTAGACGGACCTGCTTCCTCCCCCGGGGAAGCAACAGGATTACCAGGAGGTACAGCTTCCGGCGGATTCTCCGACGTGCCCGCTGGCCAGGATTCTGCGATAACGTCCAGATCGAACGTCTCCCCTAGCTCCGAGTAGTTCAACCGTTAGTACCGTTAAATACCGTCTATCGATTTAGCCTCCGATACTGGTATTTTGTGATTGAACCGCCGGTACGGTATGGTTTAATGGACCATGCTTAAAATAGAAAGTTGGTTTGAAGGACGCGCACTTGTTTCCAATGCCAGACGACAAGCTGCTATGGACCTCATTTGGTCAAATATTATTGACCATATGGCTATGGTAGTTGCTTCAGTATAGGGTGGCGGTGAATCCATGGTCTTTTAAGAATGTTGGAGACACCCACGGAAGTTTGAGTTTACGCGAAAAGAAAATAGATGGTAGTCTTTTGCGATTCAAACACGTAACGCTGCAATTACTAGGGAAAATGGTATACATTTACACTGCAAACAATTTGTTGTTATAAAACATAAATGCAATTATAATCTAAAAGAAAGAACAATGAAACCCAATTCTCCAAATTTTCATCCAAACCCTGAAAATCAAATTCTCTATTCACCACCGTTATGTTATTGACGAAGCTTGTATTATTATCAGGTTTGATTGTTTTACTCAATTCGTGATACGCAACTGCAGAATAAGTTTTTTTTTACAAAAAAAAAAACCCTTAGTATTACTCGATTTTATCCTAATGAGTTTGGTCACTTTTGTGAACTCATTTCTTCTACGACAATGCAGTCAAAAGCGCAATTCTACGTAGAAGTGTTTTGGTGACTTAGAAGCGTAAAACTAGCTTCTAAGTTTTATAGCGCATATTTTGACTACATTGTTTGTGAAGCGTAATTCTACTTAGAAGCGTTTTGGTGATCTACAAACATAAACTTTTAAGCTTTAAAGCACTATTTTGGTTGCATTGTTCTACGATACTCTGAGATTTATTATCATTGTTTCAAGAATGATAAGTTACTCCTTCGATTAGAAAGAATTGATGAATTAACTTAGTTTATGGCATTGAAGAAAAAAAGGCAAAATATTATATTCATTGGACTATTTGCTTCTCAAGATTGTATGATTTTACCAGTTGCAAGTTGCAACTACAAGTGTTGAAAGTTATTTTTCAGATTTAGGCTAAATAAAGAATAAGTTTGAAAATCTTATAGACAATTAGATCGGAAATGATTGTCTAATATGATTATCTGTACAATTTTATTTTTCAGAATGCGAAAATAAGTATTGTACTAGTCTGATAAATTATAATTAGAATATTGTATATTTTCTAAATTTAAAAATGTTATCTTGTTTTAATTTCCTAAGAGGACACCTAAACTAAATTTTTTTGTTCCACCACTCCGTTGTTTATCCTTTTTGTTACTCCACCACACTTCTACCACCAACTATGCCTTCAATAGCACAAAACCTCTTTAAAGTAGAGTGAAGTTCCGAACGGGAGAGTAAATATTGCAGACTTACCTTACCGTAAGTATAGGCAGGAGTGGCATATCCCTCTTTCCTTCATCTATGGCAGTCCGGCTAGTCCAAGTACGGGTCTATTTTCTTTAACGAGGTCGGAAAAGCTAGCTAGAGAGTGAGAATTAACTAAATCACTTAAAAATGTTATCCTAAAAGGGTGTTTTATTCAATGAAAATTTGTAACACCTGAACATTTTTCCTCGAAGATATTGTTCGTTTTGAATCGAGAGCCTCGCGGATTTTGTCTTGGATGAATATCAAGATGACTTCCAATAAAATCATCCATCCTTGTAGTGCTTCATAGTGAGCGCGTTTAACTTTGAAATTCTTACACTAACTCCTCCATTTCACTTCAAAACGTGCCGTGTCATGTGAGATCGGTTTCTTACTTATGAACCATAGATCTCTCTCATGCTTTGTCGATGTGGAATTCATCTAAGGTGCTACATACACCCCTCTCCTCCTGCGAGGCTGAGACTCAATGAAGAAGGTTTGCCCCACCATCATTCAGCCAGACTCTTATACCTAGTGTCGTAACCAGACTTTAGGTTCACTAGGGCTTTAAACATTTAATAACACTAAATTCTGTGTATCTAATAAACTTTGAGTTGATTGGGCCTTGGGGTCCTTAGGTGAGCTAGCATCGACGAGAGTATGGGCTGAATTTGAAAGATCATACTAAACCCCATATTCTAAAGGGTTTTATTTTTCCATTTTTTGCCAAGTAGGACCCCTCTCCTTAATACCTCCCTCCGCCACTGCTTATACCACTTGTAACATTCCAAAACTTTTCCTGACAAGATATTGTCCGCTTGGGGCCTAGACCCTCACGAATTTTGCCTTGGGGTGCATATCAATGTTACTTCTCATAAGGTCACTCATCCTTGCAGTGATCCATAGGGAGCATGTTTAACATCAGAGTTCTTACAATAACTCTTTCATTTCACCGCAAGTCTTGTTAATTAAGGTTGGTTTCTTAGTTATGAACCGTGGATCTCTCTCATGCTTTGTCGATGTGGGATTCGCCTAAGATGTTAGAGTAAGCTAGCTTGCTTGCTTACTACTACTTACTAGTAGGTAGAGCTGCAAATGGGTCGAGTCGAGTTTTGGCCTAGATTGAGCTTGGCTTGTATGCCTCCATAGTTTGTCTCCAATTTGACTAGAGCTCAGCTCATTAAGGAGCTCACAAACTGAACTCGAGTTCGGCTCATCTATTAGTTTGCAAGATCAACTCAAACTCATGTATCATATCATTTAGTTCATAATATTTAATTGTTCATATCATGTTATTTAATAGTAATTAGTATAGAAGACCTACTACCATGCCTTGAAGTTATTATAACTTGAGCTTTTTGACCTGCTATAACAGGTTTTACAGGTCGTATTACGTAAATGTAGTGTTTATTACGTAACAATTACGTAATGCTTCTTAGTCTTACATAACAGTTAAACTAGAAGCGTTACGGAAGGTTTCCGTAACGACTTAACATTTTCTGTAACACTAGGTTAATATTCATTACGTAAAAGGATCTCCTATTACATAAGGCTTTCTTAATGACATTTTACAGCTGTTATATAAAATACACACTCATTACGTAAAGATTACGAAATGAAGGTTATTTCTTACATAATAGTTAAAATTGAAGTGTTACGTAAGACTTCCGTAATGACTGATCACATTACGTAACTTTGATTAATATTCATTACGTAAACGAACAATCAATTAAGTAAGGCTTCCGTAATGACACTTTACAACTGTTCCGTAAAGTATACAATTATTACGTAAAGCTTACGGAATGATAGTTATTTCTTACGTAATAGTTAAATTAGAAGCGTTGCGTAAGCTTTCTGTAATGATTTAATATGTTACGTAACGGAAGATTAATATTCATTACGTAAAAAGGGCGTCTATTACGTAAGATTTTCGTAATAACATTTTTAACTATTACATAAGATAAACACACATTACGTAAACATTACGTAATGCATATTGTATTTTACGTAATACAACTTATGAAACCTACTATAACAGGTCGAAAAGATCAAGTTACAATAACTTCAAGGTATTATAGGAATTTCCATTAGTATATGAGCAATATACATTACATGATTTCACTTTTAGATTAGGGCTAATACCACTGGGAAACCCGAACTATTAACTTTGTGTCATTTGTGTCCTAAAGTATTCGATATGACATTTGTGTCCTGAACTATTTTTCCGTTAGAGTTGACTAGCGTTGACCGGTAGTTTTTAACAAAAAATCTAGTCAGCGCTTATATGGCATCTGACGTGGAACTTTTATTATTATTTGTTTATTTATTCCTATTACTTAAAAAATAATTAAAAGGAACATAATTGGGAAATTGAAAGCCTCCGCCACCACCAAAATCCTCCTCCTCTGCGATAAGTCCTATCCTCTGCTTCCCGAGCCGCCGGGAACTCCGATCAGCTCTCCCCTTCGCTGCCTCCTCACCTCCGCTCCCGCCCGTCGCCAAATACTTATTGACCGAAGGCCAAATTGACGCCTCCATAAATCTGATCCTCTCCACGCATCCCAAATCGACGCCTCCGCTGATCTTATACTCTCCTCGCATCCCTAATCGTTTGCCACATCCCACCTGATCTCGTCCTCCTCTTCCAGTCACTCCAATCGAGGCGATTCTTGTTCCATCGCTGGGCGATTCTACCTAAGGTGTAGAGGAGGGATGATGAATGGTTAAAATTGTGGTGAGCTGGTTATCTATGAGAGAGAAGGATTCGACCTTCAAGCTTCTATCTCAATCCTTGATTTCTTGGTGCAGTTGCTGAGAAGAAAACGGAACGGGATCAGTACCTATGGATCGTCACCAGTGGGGGGCTGAATCAGCAGAGAACGGGGTGAGAACCCGTCTTTTCCCTCGACGTTCACCCAATCTCCGGTCTCCTGTCCAGCGGTGGCGCCGATTGGGTTGGGGGGTTCCATTCATCAAAGGGGAAGAAGAACGGGAACGGCCCACCAACGCAGCTGCTGCTTCGATTGACAGAGACCCACCCACCAGCTGCTTCTTCAATTGACAGAGGAACCCCCGAGCCGGTCCCCTTCTCCGCAATTTTCTTCGTCGGGAATCGGGAATCACCGCTGTCGGAAGCAAGCTGGCCTTTCATCGCTCAGATCCAAAATGTTAGCTTCAGAGCAGTACCGAATGGAAGAGATGAGGATATGTGACTGAAAATAATTTTAATTGTTAATTTCAATTGTTAAAATTTTTATGTTTTATTTTGTAATTTATTTGTTAATTTTAATTTGAAAATAAAAATCGGATGTGGCAGCTGACGTGGCGCATACGTGGCTGCCACATATGTGCCATGTAATCAATAGTCAACATTTTATGGTTGACCGTTTGGTCAACCGTTATCTATAACGGTCAACGAAATTGTCAGGACGTAAATGACACACAACTATCATACATCAGGACACAAATGTCATATCGAATACTTTAGGATACAAATGACACAAAGTTAATAGTTCGGGTTTCCTAGTGGTATTAGCACTTTAGATTATAAATGAGACATATTTGATCAAGTGCTCAAATTCTTAAACATCATATGTGGTAATATATACAATCTAATAACAAACGCATGAACTACAAGCCAACGATAAGTTATTTATCATTTCGTTCATTCGTTGCTTGTTGAGGTGGCTCGCTAGCCATACTGTCGAATCAGTTCATACTTCAAAATCAGTTAGCTCACGAGTTGAGCTCAACAAGCCACCAAATCAAGCTGACTCACGAGCCTTGCAAGTCGAGTTATCTCAAACTTGCCTCGGTAGTACACAAATCGAGTATGAAACGAAGTATTCCTAATCGAAGCAGCTTGGCTATTTTTCCCCCACTTTGTCCTTGTTATAGTAATTGAGAAAAGCATTGGGGAAAGGAAATCATTTCATGTACCCTACCTAGGTGATTTAGTCAAATAAAATAACAAGAACCGTCAATCTTGACTTAATGATATCAAAGCAATTTCTTGCTGCCTGTCCTTGTTGCGGCCTGTCTGTGGGCTTTACTTTAAGTCTGTTGACAGTTCCGTGCAACAGCCCTACCTCTTCACTTCTTCCGGTCGGTCTCGCGTCTGAGGAGTGAGGGCGATTCTGTTGACAGTTCCGTGCAACAGCCCTACCTCTTCACTTCTTCCGGTCGGTCTCGCGTCTGAGGAGTGAGGACTAATCGCACTTTGCTTCTTCTCATCTTTCTTTGTATGTTTTCGTTCTCTTTAAGCAAAGTCGCAATCCTTGATTCCGATTTCTTTGTTTCTTACTTACTTTTCCCTTTTGGAAATCGGTTCGAGAACACAAGGGAAACTTAGGGGTCGTTTGGAAGTTGCGATTGTTTTGTTGAGATTGTCATTATGCATGTATTGTTTACAATGTATTGTTTTTTTTGTTTTTTAGCCGATGCAATACATGGATTGTTTCTATGATCTGACAGAAACTATCACTCATTTTGAGTGATTGTTATATCTCAACTTTTAGTTGTGATTGTTGAGATAGTTGAGTTGAGATTGTTTTGTCTCAGCTTTTAGCTGATGCGACATACACAATCACACATACCAAACGTTGTATTCTACAATGCATCAAATTTGACAATACATGTATAATATTATACATGCATTCTCAACAATACATCTATTTAACAATCGCAACTTCCAAACTTCCCATACATTTTTTCCCCCTTCTTCGTGATTTCCCGCCCAGGCCCAGCCATTTATTATATTAACTGATCGTGCAAGAAAGAGAAAGGAAGACCGACTTTTGAATTGGGCCGACTTTGTTTCCGCTGGCCAATACCGCCACCTGCAGCCGCCCGCCCCGGCCGCCGAATTGTCCTTTGCTTGTATATAAAGTATAAACCAATAATTTGACGATGGTTGAAGACCTTGACTTTTTGCTGCTCTGCTAATTGGTCTCTAACACATGTTGTTGATACTTCATAATATTCCTCATCATCCGTCCCATTTTCTGCTAATTATTAGCTTCATTGAATTCCTATTTCATACATTACAACTTGTTATTTGTAACCAGTTACCACACAAATACTATATGTCACAATATGTGTTACTTGTTATATGATCTTTGTATAAAATATCACATTTGGATAAATTTCGTTGGCTCGCAAAAATAAAAATGCAAACACGCCATATAAAGAATCTACATGTAACTACTCTAATCAAATTCAGATATAATTGTAAGTATAACATCATTGTACTCGATATGAGGATCTCAATGCAAGGATATCACGTAAAGAATCCCAATGTAATGAATTCAACCAAATTCACTTTCTTTAGATGACGTTCTGCACAGTCAAGCTACCATGATGGCAAAAGCAGGCGCCAGTATGAGCTAATATTGTCGGATCTCGCGCAACCTGCGATCTCTACCGTTAAACATACGATATTTTTGACTTGTTATTCAGAATATCAACGAATCACCGAAAACAATTAAGAATACAGATCATATGCGATCCAACAGTGTCAGTCATCCATTGGCAAAGCCTGAGCATAATGAATTGGGTGAATGAACCAAAAAAGTTGGTTTCTTCCTAGGAGGAAGATTCTAAGTCGAGAACGCCTATACTCTCACACCTCCACGAGTTGATGACCATAGACATAGACATTATTCTCCTTGTGCATTTATTCCAATCTAGAAAAGTTGAGAAATGGAAAAAAAAACAACGAACAGAGTTGCAAGGCTAACCAAGGAAAATGGCTTGTCAATTGTGTCACAGTGTGAGAGGAATCTTTTACAGTTAGTTATGCATGTGGCTTAGGCTTTATAACAGGAATCATCTTTGTGAAAGAAACTTCTTCAGGTTCACTGAATCCAAGCACATAGAATTGTAGCTTCCAGTCTCCCCTTCCCATTCTTTCTACACTGACCGATCGAGACTCCCCCAAGCTTCCAGCACCAGCATTACAGCAAGTTTTGGTAAAATCATAAATCACAAGTCACAAGTATCAAAGTTGAAGGGCCAAAATTGACATTATCAAGAACATACACAACTTGCGTAAACTAATACAACCATCATATATACACAGACAAAGCATTCACCCAGATTCTATTCTGCAGCTGGTGAATAAACCATTTTTTACAGAAGGAATACATACACTCCCCGTCAGGGCACCACCACCACCATAACCATATCTCTCTCAGTTCACCGCACTCTCGCTATCCGCAAACCCAATGAATGGCTAATCAACTCCTTCCTTTCCCGCCTTGGCCTTCATATTCTTTTGCAGTTGTTGCCTTTTGCTTCAGCTCCCGTCATATACATTCATGGTATCGGAAGCAACTGACAAGATGGTCGTTCGTTAGACCCGATACCTGCATGAAAGAGTATATAACCACGGCCCCACACTACGGAATCCCCTTCTCACAAGATCTTTGCTCATCGCCTCTGCTTTTGAAGTCTTCACTGGAACCTGGCGGGTGTACCGGAATTGGTTCACTAAGGGCTTCTGGTTCACAAAATTCCAGATGTACTTGTCGAATGACCCCAACTCTTCTATAACCTGTGCTACATATTAACAGCCGCAATTAAGAGTTCTATACTTGCATATACATTTTCCTTCTCTACTTCCAATGTATTCCACAAACTACGGACCTTGCAAATTTGGCCTGCATTTTCAAGGATTGATCGCAGCTTCTGTTCTGGTAGTAGGGAGCTGGTAGGGCTTCCTGCCATGATGAGCTTCCTCTCATTCAGTTTCGACACAGCAACTGGGTCAAAACCTAGAAACACTTCCATGCACCCACACAAGACATACACAAGAATAACTTGGTAACTTTGGTGTCTAGCCAGGACAGAACTCAACTATATTTCCCGGAGAGGAAGCTTAGTACCTAAATGTCTGCCGTTTACTAAGAATGGCAGGCCATGATAGTTCTGCCAAGGCACCAGACAAACATAGTAGTTCAAAAAGTTTCCTGCAAGTAAGAAAGGCCTAATCAGAGATTGAATGCATTAAAAGAAAAAGCGGTTTAAGCTCAAAATCTTCATCTAGTTAGAGAGTACCTGTCATCATGGACTGGCACTCCCCATTCTTCATCATGAAACGCTGTGTAGCATTGTTCTTCACGACATGAAAAAGCAAGTTAGCAAAACCCAAAGTACTGACCAGGACGTCAAATTGTGACAAGGAAACAAAGTAAGAAGCCAAGAGAACCACTAGCTTTCCCATATGAAGAAACAATTCACGGAAGCTTGTGAATCATATCAATAAGTTATAGCAATATGGAGCAGTAGCTCACACATAGCAAGATTACTGACCAACATGACAGATAACATTCGGCATTTCCAAATAAAGCAATGCTGTTAACAATGCAGGTTAAGAGGAAGCCTTCCACACTGTTGGGATCATTCATTTTTTTTTTTTTTTGACAATAAGTTGGGATCATTCATGTAGGTCCATGAATATCAAGTTCTTCCCGGGTTCCACCAATCACAAACAAGTAACTGGAACCAGAGATAGGAAGTCTGAGTGCTTTTCAATTCCAACCAACTCAAGTCAATTTCCACATACAAGCTTCACAAATCCCACAAGAATTATTGAAGGTCAATGCTGATCTAGTTCTTACAAACCCTAAAAGGCTAAAAGCTACATTCAAGTGGTTTCATCCATCAATCACCAGGTCAACAAGAACTAGGCTCTCTCTTGATATCGTTCCAGACAACGGAAATGTCTATAAGAATACTAAAATCGACAGACTCACCAGTAGTAGGAGTAACCCAAGGGCACCTCTTCTTACTCTGATCAAAGCAATCGACTTTACCCACTAACCCACCATAGTCAGTCTCCTCCAATGCTGCAATTCCACCACCGCCACCATTTTTCTCTTCCTCCTTGTCAATTTTGACTCCACATTGCCTCCTCTTCACCACGCCGCCGCTCCGCCGCATTCCACCCGAGTCGGACCACACCGAAGCCGACGAGGATGACGACGCCCCACTGCTGCTGCTCGCCGAATCCGAAGAAGCTTCAGACGAGCAAGACGCGTTCATCGATTTCTGCCGCAGAACCGCCGCCACTTTCCCCGATTTCCTCTCCTTATTGGCCTCCGACTCTTGCTTTCCGGGCTTCTTCGCCGGGTTTTTCGGGGCCTTGTTCTCCGGCTCGGGGGTGTTCAACGACCAAAATCTCGGCGGGCCCGACATTATCCGATTCTGCCCCGATAGAAGAAATGCCTCTCTCCTCTCCGGGTTTCAGCTTTGATTCCGCGCTTCCCACAGGCGAAATCTCTCACTGAGAACAGGAATTGGGCCGCGCATTGTCAGCAACTGGTGCTCGTGGGATTCGGGGATGGGGAAAGTTAGGGTCTTCGGGTGTTTGGGAGGTGATGAGTAAGTGAGAGAAAACTACAGGGGAAGTGTTGACTTTATCGACGGGAAGAAAGAAAGGAGGAAGAAAAGCTAGGATGGGCAATGGTAACGGTTATTTGGTAATGTGGATGCACCGTTAAAAAGTAGACGCCATGATAGAAGCTCTGTCCTCTCTCCTCGGAGATTGGACGCAGTTCGTCCTTCTCCCTCTTGGCAAGATCTGCCGTTCAGCAGGTCAGACCCTTCTATGGTTCTTGGCCGCGGTGCTGGAGGCCTCCCTGTAAAATACGAGAAAGCGAATAAAACGAGAACGAGACACCGGGATTTACGTGGTATCCCCGTTCAATATGAACGGGACTAATTCACGGAGAGCTTGGAGCTCTCGGAGAGAAAAACTAATATGGCTGTTTGTTACAATGGTGTTACTCGGCTACAAAGACAACCGAGGTAAATAAAAGGCAAAACCCTAGCTCCTTTCCTCGTGTATCACGGAGTTGGGTAAATTACTAAGTGATCCCTAATCTAATTAATGATTACAATTAGGAATCACTACACTCCCCCTCAAGCGAAGGAGTGAATGTCAAGGAGCCCGAGCTTGACAAAAAGATGATGAAACTGATCCACACTCAAGCCCTTGGTGAAGAGATCTGCAGGTTGCTCAGCAGTAGCAATTTTGGCCGGAGCTATCTCCCTAGACTGAACGCGCTCCCGAACAAAGTGACAATCCATCTCAACGTGCTTGGTGCGTTCGTGGAAGACCGGATTAGCTGCAATGTGAAGGGCAGCCTGGTTGTCGCAGTATAAGATGGTAGGACTTGAGGAAGGCACACCTAAGTCTCGGAGAAGCCAGCGTAACCAGAGAATTTCGCTGACGGCACTCGCCATGGCTCTATATTCTGCTTCAGCAGAAGAACGGGCAACGACGGTCTGTTTCTTGGTGCGCCAAGAAATGGGAGAATCACCAAGAGTAATGAAGAAACCAGTCGTCGAGCGACGGGTGGTGGGACAACCACCCCAATCTGCATCACAAAAACCCGTCAGTGTAAGAGGAGTTGAAGCAGAGAAGAATAGACCGCGACCTGGAGCGCCTTTAAGGTAGCGAAGGACACGAACAGCAGCATCCTCGTGTGCCTGAGTGGGAGACTGCATAGCCTGACTGAGAAGATTAACAGCATAAGTGATATCAGGACGCGTAACTGTGAGGTAAAGCAGCCGACCAATAAGACGTCGATAGGCTGCTGGATCACGAGCAGGGGGTGAAGGGGAACGCCCCAAACTGTGATGCTGCTCAATCGGCGTGGAACAAGGACGAGCAGCAGTCAACCCAGTGTCGGCCAAGATATCCATGACATATTTACGTTGGTTGAGAACAAGACCCTTGGGTGAACGAGCAACCTCAATTCCCAAAAAGTACTTGAGGTTCCCAAGGTCCTTAATAGTGAAACGATCGTGGAGAAAAGTCTTGACCTGCTGAATGAAGGACATGTCATTACCTGTGAGGATGACATCGTCGACATAGATGAGAGCGACAACAAATATAGATCCACGGCGATAAATAAAGAGTGCATGATCAGCTTTGCTCTGAACGAACTGAAGTTCCAATAAAGCCTGAGTGAACTTCTGATACCAATTTCGAGAGGCCTGACGTAGACCATAAATAGACTTGTGAAGCCGACAAACTCTGGTGTCGCCCGGATGAGAGAATCCCTGAGGCACAGTCATATAAACTTCCTCGTCTAAATCGCCGTGGAGGAAGGCATTGTTCACATGAAGTTGATGGATATGCCAACCTCGAGTGACAGCAACAGCCAGAACACAGCGAACAGTCACGAGTTTAGCCACAGGAGCATAAGTATCATGAAAATCCACACCCTCAATCTGGGTGAAGCCTTTCGCAACCAACCGCGCTTTATAGCGCTCAATAGAACCGTCAGGGCGAAATTTGATCTTGAATACCCAATTACAAGCGATTGCGCGCTTCCCGGGTGGTAAATCAACCAAGGACCAAGTACCATTTGCCACCAGTGCATCAATCTCCAACTGCATGGCATCACGCCAGTGCTTGTACCGCACTGCCTGGAAAAAAATGGGTAGGCTCATCGATGGCAGTGATGGCTGCGACGAAAGCATGATGAGCGACCGACAGCCGATGATAACTGACATAATCATCGAGAGGATATAATGCCTGGGCAGAGTGAGCTACTCCAGGGAGATTAACATCGTAGCCCGAAAGACGAGTGTTGGGGCGCCGAATCCGCTCGCCACGACGAGGAGGTGCTGGCTCGGGTGGCGAGGGAATTGGCACAGCAGGAGAGGAGGGCGCTGGACTGCTGGGAAGAGCTGAGCTGCTGGGAGTGGACGTGACGTCCAGCTCGGCCGAGGGGGTGCTAGACGCATGCATGGGAGAGAGCTCGGGAGGAGATGAAGTCTCCTGCATGGCCGGCGTGGACGTGATCGACGCATGCATGGGAGAGAGGTCGTCCGAGCTAGGAGTGGGAGCTGGCAGCGAGGTCAAGGGAGTGACACCTTCATCATCATCGTGGACAATAGGAGCTGAATGTCCAGGCGAAGAATGAGAAACAGCTGCAGGGGTGAGTCTCGTGTCCTCAAGATCACGATAAGGAAAGACATTTTCCAGGAATTTAACGTCCCGTGAGGTATATATATTCTTCTTCTCTATATCATATATACGGTAACCACGTTGAGCGGATGGATACCCCAAGAAAATTCCTGCCCGACCGCGATCACCAAACTTATGCAAACCATGATGATTATCCCGCGCATAAACCAGGCATCCAAAGCTGCGCAAATGGTTATACGAAGGTGTCTTCTGGAACAGAACTTGGAAGGGCGACCGATTACCAATAGAGATCAATGGCATCCGGTTAATGAGATAAGCTGCAGTAAGTACACATTCGCCCCAAAATTTGATGGGTAAGTTGGCGTGAAATCGTAAAGCACGAGCTGTGTCAAGAAGGTGCCTGTGCTTGCGCTCCACGACCCCATTCTGTTGCGGGGTGTCAGTGCACGAAGTCTGCAACACTATCCCTTTCTCACCATAGAAATCGAGCAATGCATTGCTCGAAAACTCAGGCCCGTTGTCAGCCTGTATACGCCGTACCTGCCCATTAAACTGAGTGCTAACCAAGTTGCAAAAATACATCAAATGACGACCAGTATCCGACTTGTGACGTAATAAAAACACCCACACTGCACGACTATAGTCATCAACTATAGTTAAGAAGTAATGTGCTCCTGAAATAGAAGGTGTCCTGTAACTGCCCCAAATATCCACATGTATCAATTCAAAACACGACTTGGTCGTTATAGTACTGGAAACAAAAGAATCCCGTGTTTGCTTAGCACGCAAACAAGATCGACAAGGGTCTTTAGTCTGAACAAGAGAACAATCTAGAAGTTTTTGTAAAATATCCAATTTCGCCATAGATGGGTGTCCAAGGCGAGCATGCCACAGCTCCGAGACGTCCAGCACCTTCCGAACCGAGTTTGCCATGGGATGATCCTCCTCGAACAGCCTGAGATAATATAATCCGTCTGCGTGCTTACCCATCCCAATCAGCCTCTTGGAGGGTAAGTCCTGAATCACACATAAATCACGTAAGAAGATCAATGCAACTGGCAGGTCCGCTGTGAGCCGACTAACTGAGAGAAGGTTACACTGAAAAGCAGGCACATGAAGAACACGACGCAGTAATAATTTATCAGATAACTGCGTCGATCCAATACTGTGAACCTTAACCCCTGTCCCATTGGGAATTTTCACCTGTAACGATGGCGAGGCATCCAGCTCGACATCCAACATAGAAGCATGATTAACGATATGCTCGTTACAACCCGAATCGATAACCCAAGTAGCTGTTTTAGGAGAGTTAGAGAGAAACGTACCAGCCATATTCGAGGATGGTTCAACTGAGGAACCAGCGGACTGATTGAAATCCGAATCCAATAGGGCCTTTAGCTGAGCGAATTGAGTCGCCGTTAGCCCAGGGAGCGGACTCTCCTTCACGTCCACTTGCGCTGCCTGCGGGGCCGAGCGAGAGGAACGATCTGTTCGTGGCCGCCTATTCCTGTCGCCCTTGTCATTTCCACGGGGTGAGTCACCTCCACGAGGTGGAAATCCAATAAGCCTATAGCATGTCTCCTTGACATGTCCAAGCCGATTGCAGTGAGAGCAGCGCGGCCTGTCTGCATCGTCACGCTCGTCACGACCGGAGGAACGATCTCCACGTCTCTCCCCCTGAACCTGAAAGGCCGCTGCCTCCGGACGGGGACGACGACTGTTGGCGATCGATCTTTGTTGTTCATCATTTGTCACCATCTGATACGCCTCCGCTAAGCTTGGAATAGGCTTCATTGCCAATATTTGGGACTTGACTGTAGAGAATTGGTCATCCAAACCCATTAAGAAGTCAAATAACCTCTCACCTTCACGTACCTCGCGACGTCGTCGCTTCACATCGCAATGACAGCCTGCGCACGTGCAATCCAAAGACGGCGTGAGGGACTGAATTTCGTCCCAATGCCCACGCAACTTTGTGTAAAACGCGGAAACGGACGACTTCTCCTGCTGGAGGCTCACGATCGTGCGCTTGAGCTCATACAAGCGAGCTGCACATCCTTGTCCAAATCGGGACTGCAGGTCCACCCAGATTTTGCGCGCTGTCGCCGCAAATCTAACGCTGCTTCGAACCTCCTTCGTCATGGAGGTTTTCAACCAACCCTTCACCATAGCATTGCATTGTTTCCAAGCTTCTACCTCCGTGGGAGTTTGAGGGGCCGGGAGAGTTCCATCGACGAAACACAGCTTGTTTTTTGCTATGAGGGAGTCGGTGATGTCGACGACCCATTCACCATAATTAACGTCGCTAAGCAGCTCCCCCACAAAGAGATTAATCGGATTATCGGACTGATGGAGAATGAGATGGGGCGGCAGCGCGACCTGAGCACTCGCCGAAGCCATCGTCGACGATAACGTCGACTTCTTCCCAGAATCTTCTTCTTCTGAACTCATGACAGCCGAGAGATGAGCTTAGACCAGCTCTGATACCATGTAAAATACGAGAAAGCGAATAAAACGAGAACG